GTGTAGGTTGGAGATGTTTGTGTCCCAGTTTGGAATGACCTACGCACCACCGAAATGCAAGGTTTTCCTTCAGGACTGGATAGGCGCTACTCCTGACCTTACCCTTCTAGGTCTTTCATTGGAAGTGATAGACAAATTCGTTTACCTTGGAAGCTGCCTCAACACTAATGGTTTAACGGGTGTGGTCTCTTTGCGCGTCTCCAAGACTCGGGTTGCTTTTGCCAATCTCCGACATTTCTGGCGCCGAGGTGATCTGAGTCTAGCTCTGTAAGGCCGAGTTTAAAATGTCACAGGGAGAGCGGTTCTCCTCTATGGCTGCGAGAGTTGTCCTGTTCGCATAAAGGATGTTGAAATGCCGTCTGTTTTTGATCACCGCTACCTTCGGAGCATTGCTGGTGTACGATAGCAACATCACACTAGGAATGACGATATTCGACGAAGGATTTTCAGATCAAACAGACTTTGCCGGTCACTGAGCAGTATAATTTCTCTGCACAGACTGCAGTGGCTTAGGCACGTACTCCGTATGTCTACTCATCGCTTACCTCACCTTGCCCTATTCGCGCACGTAGAAATCGACTGGAAGCGAAAATAAGGTGGCCAACCTATGACTTGGGCCAGGAGCAAGAAGGAGCTAACCTCAAAGTTAGCCGTGGTCGGGCACTCTCAACTCCTTGGTTGGAGGGCGAGGGATTCGGAACAGAATGTCTGGAAACGTTCTCGGATATGGTGAGAAATCGTGCACAATGGTGACTTTGTTTTGACTCACTATTCCGACGAATATCGGTATTTTCCTATCTTCCTATATTTGTTGTATTCTCCATAAGTGCTCGCACTATGCCAATTGTACTATTGGTAGTGCTGAATAAATAAATAAATAACTATATATATATATATATATATATATATATATATATATATATATATATATATATATATATATAGGTGCTCAGTGGGACAATATCACCCTTAAAGCGAGCTCCAAAAATATGTTCTTTTTACGCAAGGTAGGCACTGGTTCTTTAGTTCGGTTGCATTGACTATGCTTTTCGTTGAACCTACGAGGGTATCCATTTGCCATTAGTGTACTATTAATCAGCTCCACTTTGTTGGCCAGACGATCGGTCGAACAAATTCGTCTGGCACGAGTAAATAAGGTCTTCACCAGCGTCCATTTGTACAGCATTGGTGTAAAGCTGGAAAGATGAAGGCACTGGTCGGACCACTTAGATTTCCTGTAGACGGCCCTTTTAACCTGTCCGTTTTCTCTGCGGCTGGTGAGGACATCCAAATAAAGGAGGCAGTTCTGCCGCTCAATTTCACAAGAGATCCTCAAGTTTGTGTGCGCAGCATTTAGCAGCGTCAGCCGCTGTGCGATCCGCTGTTCAAATGAACGAAATGCTTGGATATCCTCCACATATCGTTTATAATATAGCACATAGCTATCTCTTCAGATTTGCTTCCATCTACCATCAGCATAAAGAAATCTGCTAGTATAGATCCCAGCAAGCAGCCTGTAACTACCTCAGCATCTGACGATATGGTGTGTTTTGGAAATACGATTAAATATTGTCGGTGCACAGTAGCAACGATTCTTTTAC